ATATGCTAATTTTTTGGGACAGGCATTTTGGGTTTTCATGAGCTGTATGCCATAATCATCAGTATTAAAACAATTAAAGACCTGAAATATTTCAGTTGGTGTGCAATGAATCTGAAATATAAGAAAGTTTCATTTTTATCATTACATTATGGAAAATAATGACCTTTATCACAATATGCTAATTTTTTGAGAAGGACCTGTATCTGATATGAAGGAAAATGTCAACAGAAACAAATATTAGATGAACTCTGTGACCACTCATGTAGAAATGTGAACATTTCTCTAAATTGTTCCAATCCAGAGGTGTCATGACCAAACGAACCCCTGCTTGTGAGCTTGCTTTCCCATCCAATTTTTCTATATTTCCTGATATTAAAGCATGTTTGGGAAATTCCTATATATATACACATATATATATAGCCTATATATTGCTGTAGTTTAAGAATATATTTTACAATATTTAGAAATAATTAGAATTTAAGTATGCTTTTACTTTTGCTTACTTTGTTGTCATTCCCATCAATCTCCAAACAAAAGGTAAAGTCATAGTAACGGCATTATCATACCTGCCAACATTTGCTGATGGCAATGGTGGGGGACGCCTGTACATATTCACAAGCACCAGTGATATGGTAAAGGGGTCTGATGTGAAGATTTGTGTTCTTATTGTTTGTCTCCTTCTTGTGGTCTGTCCTGCTCTCCTCAGTTATTCTCCTTCATGTAATCAGCTCTTGCCTCCGTCACCTGCTGCCCTTCCCAGGTGTTGTCATTTCTCTGTCTACCTCCATGTTCCCAGCATCGTGTAAGTTTATTTTCCCATCAGCCTTATGTTTTTGTTAATAAATTATGTCTTATTGTAATTCTCCGAGTCTCCGTAGTCTGCCTGCAATTGAATTCGACATCCAACCACCACATCGCAACACAAATTTATTCAAAACTACTAATTTTCTCACTATTTGGAGTGTGTTTGACTAAATTCCTGGGATTAAACAAAAAACAAATATATATACAAATATAATGTATATTTTTTGGAAGGTGGACAATGAACACTAACATTGTTTTGACTGTGCCGCACCTTTATCACAAAACATCCTCTGCACCAGGTAGGTAAAACAGAACAAGTACAAAAACGAATAGAAAATGCCTGCTTCCCTACAATTCATTCAACCTTTATTTAGACAGATAAGTCACATTGAGCCTAGAAGACTCATTTACAAGTGAGATCTGTTTAGACAGACAAAACGTAGTGAAACTGGACACATGTAGGAATTGGAGGCTAAAAAATTCCTGTCAAACTCTTTCTTCTTGCCTGAGAAGAAAAACTCTGATATTAAAAAACACCTCGCACAAACAAGCACATAGTGATGTAGACATTCTGCAGAGGGGGGGGGGGGGGGGGGG